TACGCATTCGGGAAAAAGTCAGGTGGATCCCAGGTGCATCCGCTGGTCGTCTCACAGGCAGTTTGGTACCTGGCAAGGTCTTACATGGCAACCGGAGAAATCCCCCAACCAAAAAGTGCATTTAGATTGGAAATTCATTTTCAAATGGGAAAATTGGAAAACAAAATGACGATGTGTCTTTTGAAATCGGACAAGTCTGATACAAGTAGGGGTTTGCCTACCAAATGACAGAAAGGTACCACAAGCCAGAGGTTGGTCGCGTCGCCGGCGACTAAAACCGACCCAAGCGCGCCATCCAGTGCCATAAGTGCCACGCCTGCCATGCAAAACGAGGGTGGATGTCGCCAAGTGCCACGCCTGCCACGCAAAGTGCCGCGGCGTCACCGGCGACTAAAACCGACCCAAGCGCGCCACCCAGTGCCATAAGTGCCACGCCTGTCACGCAAAACGAAGGTGGATGTGACCAAGTGCCACGCCTGCCACGCAAAACGAAAGTAGATGTGACCAAGTGCCACGCCTGCCACGCAAAGTGCCGCGGCGTCACCGGCGACTAAAACCGACCCAAGGGCGCCACCCAGTGCCATAAGTGCCACGCCTGTCACGCAAAACGAAGGTGGATGTGACCAAGTGTCACGCCTGCCACGCAAAACGAAGGTAGATGTGACCAAGTGCCACGCCTGCCACGCAAAGTGCCGCGGCGTCACCGGCGACTAAAACCGACCCAAGCGGGCCACCCAGTGCCATAAGTGCCACGCCTGTCACGCAAAACGAAGGTGGATGTGACCAAGTGCCACGCCTGCCACGCAAAACGAAAGTAGATGTGACCAAGTGCCACGCCTGCCACGCAAAGTGCTGCAAGGCGTTTGCAAAAAATACAGTAAACACAAAGAAAAACAACATGTTCTGGCTGTGTTGCTGATGTTTTTGCCTACGGCTGGAAAACTGTACGTGCGTTTTGCTTCTTTTTTGAGTATTGCTCTTTGTCTTGGGGTTGGGGTGGGGTGGGGTGGGGGGGCATGTTAACGTTCCTTGTACTTCGTACATGATATATTGCCATGTTGCTAAGATCTCTGGGATCGCTTACTACGTGACATGTTGCTACGCTGCTGAGATTTTCTAGTGTGGGTTGGGGTTGGGGTGGGGTGGGGGGCATGTTAACGCTCCTTGTACTTCGTACATGATATATTGCCATGATGCTAAGATCTCTGGGATCTTTTACTACGTTACATGTTGCTACGCTGCTGAGATCTCTGGGATCGTTTACTACGTTACAGGTTGCTACGCTGCTGAGATCCTTGGGACTTTCTTACTACGTGACATGTTGGTACGCTGCTGAGATCTCTGGGATCTTTTACTACGTTACAGGTTGTTACGCCTGTGAGATCCTTGGGATTTGCTTACTACGATACAGATTGACTCTCTGTGGAATTTGGCTAAAAAAATTGTGCCTAGCAATTTGCAGACAAAGGCAGGGCAGAACAAAGATGTCATGCTATACCTGCGTTGCTGGCAGTGGCGTTATGAGTGCCATAATGGCAACTTGCTGTCGAAGACAGCTTCCACACTGATGGATCGCTGAGCCGACGAAGAGTGTTTTAAAAAAAATCTGAGCATCCAATCCACGTCTGATGCACATGATGTTTACCTGGATTTGTCAAAAATCAATAGATTTTGCATCTGCTTTTTTTAACCAAAATTCAGTTATCCAAAGAGTTCGGAAGAGCATTTTATATTGTAAATTACAGGTCATTGTGACTCTCCTGGAAGCAAACAATCAAAACGCTCGCGCGGTTTCCCATCCGCCGGGATGTTTTTGATGCTATGTTTAGCTATGTTTGCGAGGTATTTTTCTCGTGTTGCGGTGGCATTTGAATGGTACTTTTGGTGGTGTATGGGTGGTCTCTTGCTGGTGGGTGCCTTGGTGGTGGTGGCATGGCATGTTGTGAGCTCTCACAATATGGGTCGATATTTCACTGGTGTGTTGCATCTGCGCGCGCAGATACAATACACATCAATACGCAATATCAAACAATCCTGCACACTTGTGGCCCATGACATCTCCAGCGCTTTTCCTGTCCTGACCGGTGGAGCCTAGATAAGGAAAAGGCGGCTTGCGTCGCGTGTGATAAAGTAAGCCAGTGCAAATCTCATCCAAAAAAATGGAAAGACAGCCAGAATTTTCCAGGGACAGCGTGATTTTTCCTGCGCGTTTTCTATTTGACTGAATGGCTGAAGATTTTAGGCGAATTCTTCCGCATCTTCTGGTAGCCGGCAAGCCAAAGTGCAAGTTACACCTATTTAAAGGGATATTTATAGGGCATGCTCGGCATGCTCCATCTCTTCTTTAAGTTTTGTTGTCTTGGCACTGCTTCACTGGCTTAACGCAGATATTTGGGTAATGTATGGTCATGTTTTGTTGGTGTCTTTTTGGATCTGGATTCCTTCTCTAGTTTGAGAAACTCACTTAATTTTTTTTGAATAAGATTCATCATGTTGGTATCGGGATTTGTCTGACCGTATATTTCATGAATATTTGAATATCTTTTGCACCTACATATGTTATTTGACAGCTGAACCGTGGTAGTTTGCTACCTCAGATATTTTAATATATTTGATTGCTTTCCGTCGTTTGCCGCGCTGGTTTGCAGGCAAGCAGCTTAGAAATGACACTGACAAACAACTTCGGCAGTTGCTCAAAAATGAAAACTTTGTTGATCTTTGTTGCAGGTCCTAGACTGACGTGCAATCACAGAAATGTCCAGATTCAATCTATTTATGATCCCTAATCCACTGCGGTTTTCCAAGTGTGATCTGTGAACGAGCAGAACAATGGGACCTTGAGACCTTGAGAATCCTGCCCAATGGGTCATTGTGTGCCTCGAAGCTAATGGTCCGCTAGGCATTGAGGTTGCCAGCACCTAGCACCGACTACTTTTATCCTTCTGGAAAGCAAAGTACAAAGAGGCAAAGTACCACAGAAGTATGTAAAGAGTTGGAATTGCCAACAAGTTGGTGATTCAAATTCATAAATTTTCCACATCAGGCCAAGAACGGATCATGCCAGCCACGCAAAAAAGGCTTGGCTCCTCCATCAGGAAGGATGCTTCAGGGACATCTCCAGCCCCCCTTGACAGGGAAGGCTTCCAACTAACACTTGTTACAACCCCCTTGCTGATGTCATTTGGATATTTCAAGTTGTTTATTTGTCGTTTGTAGCTACAATATCCGGCATGCTGACATGGCACACTGCTTTTGCAGGCGTTCAAAACCCAATCCTCGGAGGTGTTCGGCTCTGACAGGCTGCGGCAAGGCAAAGGATTCATCATCAAGTTGTCACCGCCCAAAACATCCCATAAATCTATGTAAAACTGCCAATCACTGATCAATGATTCGGTGATCGACATGAATCATCTGCCACCAATTCGAAACATTCCCTTCATTTCCCTTATCCTACCGCCACTGTAAAGTCAAGGCACAAGGCCCAACATCAAACCAAGTTGACTGACTCATACTTTTGGGCATGGGTCGAACCCCGGGTGCACTGAACATCCAAATAGCTGGTGAATCGATGTTTGTCCCCCCCAAAAAAAACTAAATATCTAAATCGCTTTGATCAATACCCACTTCATCTCCAAATATCTCAGCAGGGATGGTGTTGATTGGAACCCTCTTGCCACTGCATCATTGATTGACAGCTGTTAACATGACTTAGACTTGATCTTGCACAAGACTTTGGATCACAATGGGTTATCGCTCCAACAACACCAGCAAATGCACAACACAGATTCAGGCCAATCTGTTGCCTCTGATTAAAGGTCCCTGACAATCAAAGGCAAGGGACTGCATTGGGAAACCAACTGGTCGGAAGCCAGGCGACATTCTTCAACGTTCCAGTCCCTCCAATGGATCCTCACAAGGTGTATCACACAACATAGCAGGGATAAGCCTGCTCCCTGTCAAAAATCAAACAGCTTTGCTCACGCCTGTCACTGACAGACGCATTTGACAGTGGCCATTCAAACCAAGTCGGTGTTAAGTTCTCTAAATTCACCACACAGCTATGTAGAACTACCCATTGATCAACGCAAAGCTGGGCTTCGAACCTCACTGTGACTCAATCGGCGATGCATTCCAGGCCTTTTAATATGTGTAAGTGTGTCTTGTAGGCCAAGGCTTGGACGACAAAGAAACCAAAACTGAAAACATCAAAACGATATCATGGAACAATTGATCCATCGCGGCAAAGGATCTGTTCGGTGTTTTCAAATTCTTTCGATATTCCCGAGCTACACTTTATTGGATCAATCGTCGATGTGCATCATCCCAGCTTCACCAACGAGCAATGTCTGAGAGTCTGATCAATGCTGTGAGGCGCTTTCTTTCGCTGCGATGCACCGGTAAGCGCGTTGGCTGGGGACTGCTTACAAATGGCGATCTGACACCCGCGGACTGCTACCACAGTAAAAGCTGATACAAGCATTGTACACATATGGAGATTTCCTGAAATGGGGGGGTACCCCTAAATCATCCATTTTGATGGGAATTTCCCTCATAAACCAACCATTTTGGGGATCCCCCATTGGTGGAAACCCCATATTATGTAAAAGTCTTTGAGGCTCATGTCCCCATGTGCGAGTGTGAATAGCAAAATGAACAGCCCTGCGCGACCAAAATGTCGCATGCTTTGTATCAGTTCACTGGAACTTTCCGCCAAAGTGAAATGTGGGGCCTAGAACGCCTAACAGAATCCTGTACCACCAATTCTGCTCCAGTGTTCCGCTTCAACTTTCCCTTGCAAAGATTCCTTTGGAACCGTGCCGGGCTTCCGACTCGCAGGTTCTTTGGAACGGTGCTGCCGTGCAGCGATGACAAGTGTTCCGTGTCAATTTTCCGTGCAAAGATTCCTTTAGAACCGTGCCCAAAAAAACGGAAATGCATCAAAATGCAAAGTAATGCCGCCAAAAATGCAATAGCCCTTCAGCATACTGCACGACGATGTTTCAAAGCGGGACTCTGACGATCAGTTCAGAATCTTCAGGTGGAGGATCTTCAGACCCTTCAGCTTGATTTTCTGGTTGCCCCAGGGGCTCATTTGTCTCTCCCTGGGGCAGCTGAATGAGCTGACTCACCAGAGCAGGTGCCTCATACGCTTCACCTTGGTTGCAGGGGTTTGAGGGTGGACACCAGGGAAAAAAAACAATAGTTCTGACAGCCTGAGGGTATTGAAGCATTTCGGGAATCAGGAGGTGCAACACCAAGATACAAACATATACAAACGATGAACCCTATTTATGACACTGTGTGGGCAGGATCACATACCATCACAGACCGTGAGAAGTGCACTGGGCGGCTATCTTCTACTGCTACTTTGCAGAGATTTCAACGCCCTGCCAAACCAGGTGGGAAGACTTAGGCATGCCATGGTCCTTTGACGCTGGATTTTTGGGGTCATACCAATGCGAACATCACCCTATGGCAAGCACAATGCAACAACATGTCTGAGAAAGGATTGGCCCTTGTGGGTCGCAAGCATGGACAAGTGGGTTCTCCTGTGGCAAATGTCAGCAGCTAGCAGGTAGCATATGGAAGGTACAGTCACGGCAGAAAAATTGAAACATCACACGTCGTTCCCGCATATACAGTGCACAAACGACCATTCAGTTGAAACAAAGTGCAGTGGTAATAACTTGATCTCTTGGGCGCACATTGTCCCAAAAATAGACGTGAACATCACCAAAATGCACCGGTTTCAACTGCTGGAAGATCATCGACTACAGCAGCGTCTAGTAGGATCTGGTGAAAGTAGAAAGGCAGGAGAGTAAAGGATATCCTGTCTTACTTGGGTCGAAGCATCGTAATTAAACCATAAATCTGTGGTTTATTCTGGTTTCACTCAAAACTTAATGGCCAATAATAGCCAATAAGCTTCGGTGGTATCCAACAGCCGCAACGTTTCATTTTTACAAATCTTTCAGAAGCGTACTGCGAAGCCAAGCGCCCGAACCTTCTCCAGAACCCTGTTGAACCTGAAGGGCTCTGCACCAAAGCCTTCCAGACCTTCTCCGGAACCTTCGGAACCTTCTCCGGAACCTCGTTGAACCTGACCCGGCGCCTGCACCAGTGCACACCGGAGCTATTTTGGGTTAAGACCCCATTAGCTTACACTGTTGGGGTGAAAACAAAGCAAGTATAGTGTTCCACTGAAGGTCTTGAACTGTCAGCTCAGGATGGCTATCACAAACTTTTGCCAGCATCCATCAGCTGCATTGTTTTTCTCACTGTTTTTGTCTTCCTTGACCTGATCCTCCTCCGTCATACTTCATACCTCATCCGGGTTTGCCTGTTGCTTCTCGAATTTTACCAACTTAATCTACACCTACGCCAATGCGCATGATGTTTGCAGTTTTTGTTTGGGCCCGGTTCATCTTTGTCGGGGGTCCTATATGTTCATCCGGACTTGGTCCGTTGCTTTTTCATGTTTTGTCAAGGCCCATCCATATGTACCTTTACCTCACTGTTTTGTTTCAGGTGTTGATTTTTTTAAAGAAGCAGTGGTTTTCTTCAAAAGGGAACGCGAGATTCCAGTGAATTGCGCATTGCAAAGCAGGAACAGTACAAAACATAAAGTACAAAAAGGATCAACAAGGATCAACAAGGATCAAAAAGGATCTTTAAGATGTGTCCAAATTATTCACCATCATGGTATGTATATGCAGGCACTCTGATTGTTATGCGGGATTCTTGGATCTCCATCAATTCACTCTTGTGTGGCATGTTTCTGGCACCTTTTAAGGCTGCGTGTTTATCATCACACTTTTCAATTTGTTCAATCCACATCATCTGAAAGTTTGATTTCCTCAAATTGTCCTGTTTTCTGTCAAGGGCCCCACTGGCAACAAATGCAAGAAACATGGTGTCAAAACTATGAACCCCAAATCCGCCTGCACTGAAAGTGCCCGAGCCCGAGCGTGCTAGTTTAGTAGTCGAGCGATCGGAGTGAACTAACGGTTTCCTGGTACAGTTTCAGCTGAGAGGTGCATTTTCGAACGGAGCAGAGCGCCGAAAAGTGCGGAGACTGTGCTAATTTGCACATGTTTATATCGGCACAACATCGTCCAAATTCACCCGTTTCGGCCCTACATGCCGCAACATAGGCTCAACTTGGGGTCAACTTTGGCGGACAAGACTTGCTGCGAAGCTGCCACCAAAGGTCTCCAAGTTGCGCAAAGTTGGACATGACTTGGACCTACAGTGCATATAGCGTGGCTTCAACTTGGGGTTGATTTGGGCCCAACTTCAGCTTGGGTCCAACATGGTGCATGGATGTGCATGGCATATTTGGGGGCAGCCTGGGCCCAACTGTGGGCAAACATGGACCAATATTGCCAACTCAACGTGGCATGCTGAAAACATCTGTGTTTAACTACTACTATTTCCAATGTTTTTGGGCTTCGATGGGGTGTGGTCTTGGGGGCATATTCCGCACATTGTGCCGGTGTTGGGCCCACTTGGGGGGCAGTTGCCCCACACCTACTTGTTGGACCCAACTTCCGCCTTCACCCCGCATCCCCACCTATCACTCCTCAACTTCAAAAAGCCGTCCCTGACCCGCACAATTTCCCTTCTAATCAGGGTGGGGGTAGTGCTCATCGCGAAACGACTGTTGGAGCAACAACTTTGATAGGACCTGATCGTAACAAAGTTGCAAGGGTCTAAACCACTATTGGGGGGTGAAGATCTAAAAATTATCATGTAGCGGTTCCATCCACACCGGTGACTATCATACCTCAATTATCTTGATTTCAGACGCTAAGTAGTTGTGATGGTATAGTATCATCATGTATCATCTTAGCGGCAACACTGGTGTGGGCGGAACATTGGTTTTCAAAGCAATCTGTACAAGGGTATCGCACAAGACTACCAGATGAAAGAGGATCACAAATGGCACTCTGGCACCATGTCAGTTCCAATCACATCCACATGCCAATCACACACGGTAAAGACTTCTGCAGGAGAAAGATAGAATGCGTTCAAACAAAGCCCCAGGAACTACCTCATGTGATGCATCTCAGGCCTGCACCTCCCGCACCTCCCACCATGTGTCAGGCACGGCTATGAAATTACCAAGGCACCTAGGCTTCCATGTGAAAACTGCTGATTCACCAGCTTTGGATTGATTCTTGACGTAGAGACACGGTTCAAGGCGAGAGAAGAATTCGGCAAGATCTCTGCCAGCAAGTCGATGCATTTGGTGACTGTCTGCATGTCATAAACGTTGGCGGAGCGGATCTTGCCGGCCAACTCGGTCTCGGAGATGCTCAACAGGTCTTCAGCACCTTGGCACGGGCAGATCTTAATTTTACCAAAATTTAACAAATGGGGATGGGTCAAAACCCTGGTACCTAGTGAACCTTAAAATAGCTGGTAAATGGATGTTCATCCCACTAAAAATGTATCTATAGGTATTGACCCATACCCAAATCATAGCAGAAGAGCTGATGGCTACGCTGCAGCACAGGCGCATTGTTTCAGCGCCTGGGAGATGGTTGTGGGGCTGCCACCACCGCCCAAAGTCAAAACAGGACTCCAATCGATCCCGGCACACTGAAGAGACAGGACAAGTATGCTCAGCACCAATGCCATCGCGAGGCTTGCGAACATAAACCTGAACACTTGGCGATTTGCTGAATTCGTGACAATTCAGCAGGCTGAATGTATCATCAGACTGGAGCATCGTGCACAGTGCACATGCAAATGACACAGCAATCTACACCTAGGAGGCTCGAAACAGCTTGCAGGCAGGCGAACATAGTTCGCGCGCATTATGCCGAAGGAAAAAGTGCGCTTTTGACTACACATGACTACAGTACAACATGATGTCAACATGGCAGCATAGCAACTCCCAGCGGCCACTTCTTGCCACCCAAGCTGGGAAGAACTTGAGGACAGAAACCTATTGTTCTGAGATGCAGCACTTTCGCTTTTGGTAGTTGTTGGCTCAAGCATTTCTGTGGGCTAGACTGGGGCGGAGTGGGGGAATAGGAAAGCCTTGGGTGTTTAAGGTGTTTAGCTGTTGTAACATTTTTCGGGGTCCACGTCTGTCTCTTGCCTGCCAAGCGGGGTCTCTAGATTTTAGGAATAAGTCTCGCACCCCTTCCTCCTCCTCCTCCTCCTCCTCCTCTTCCTCCTATAGCTCGAGATGTGCATTCAGGTTTGTCGGCTCCATTCTATCATATATTTTGCCGAAGGTTCTTCGATCTGGTGCTCCTTGTATGTTCTTGACAGTTGCTGCGTTTGACGCCAGAATCTTTCACAAGCATACTGGAAGTTCCAGGATTTTGGGGCTTGACTCTGGCACTCAAATGTCATTACAAAGTCTAAGAGGGTGTGAGCTCTACGTTTATGCGACTCTTTAAGCCCAGGCGGCATCCCCTGAAAATTGAATTCAGAATGATAAAACTCTGACCCCTGCTTTTTCTACATACATCCGTTTTTCGCACAGTCTACTAAACGGCTTGCCCTAGCATGCCCTATCTCGTTCCAAGGTGCGAACGAAACATGTGCTACACAGGCTACACAGGCACCATGGTAGCAACGCCATGCAACGCCTTGTAGCTGGTGCAATCACCGGAGCATGCAGAACTAGTCGGCTACAGCGGCTACAGCTTTCAGAATCCTTTCCACATCTCCCAGCACAAAAATCATACTTGTTTTAAAAAAAACATTTCCTTCACGAAGGAAACGACACTGTGCCCTGCCTACTAGGCACAACAATCTTGTAGAGAATGAGGTCGTTGATGCTATCTTGTGGAAGGAAATTGAAATTCAACGGGTGTGAATGGATCTATATGGGCAACTGCATGGGTCATTTCAATCGTCTCTTTCTGTTTCGAGCACTGCAGCAACACTGCGCAATTCATAAACACATTTTCTGCATCTTGTTTACATCGATGCGCTCTTGCCCAACCCGGTCGAGCATGCAAAAGCCTTTGCGGGGCTGGTAGCCTGGTTTGGTTTGGACAAAGCTTGACCAATGATCATCTGCTGCGCTGTCTAGACGATTCCAGACGGATGCGCAGTACCCAGAAACCACTCAGATTATGAAAGAACATCTTCCTGGGCTGCCCACGAGCCGCAAGCCGACAATCGGAAGCAACAGCCAGAAAGCCAAAAAAGCCAACACGGCCAACACAGCCAGGAATCTGCAAAACCCGGATAGACATTCCAAACAAAAGCTGCGAATGAAGCCAGAAGCCACAAGAGAAAAAAGAAACGAGGAAAAGAAGCGACAAAAAACACAAGAAACCACAAAAGCGACAAGGGCCAAACAAGAAACCCAAAAGCCAAAAAATAAAGCCCTAAACAGGCCAATCAACCAAACACTCAAAGAGGCCCAATCCAATCTGCCCTACTTGATCGTACAGAAAGATGCTTGTGGCCTGGGAGACATGGAATTAATCCTGACGCGAGCGACACTGCGATCAGCAACACAGCAGTGAACATGGACGAGCAAGAACCTCTGGACAAAACCTCGTCCAAAGCAACATTTGCAGCCCAGGAACCCGAGAATGCAAACAGAGAATACCTCAGCAAAATGGGCTTCCATATCAACGTCGGTCTGGATGGATTTGGTGACCAAAAGGACAAGGCTGGCATTCACAAACATATCTGCCATGTTGATCATTGGCACCTTCCATGGGAGCCACAATGCCTGTAACAAGCCATAGACGATCAGCACCAGACTTGCCAACGAGGTCTGCACTGGTGGGGTGCCTGCTCCCAGGGCGACTGCCAGGGCAAAGCCAAGGCCACGGAAAAGGATGACGAGTACGAACCAATGAGCATCAAACCGGAAATTCGCCAGGAAGAAGCGAAAACTCTGCAGCCGGGCTCTTTGTTTTCCAGCAGACCACTTTGGCATGTTCCAAGCGGCAAAAGCGCACATGACGGCGAAGCCAAGCACGAAGACAATGAAGAAGCCAGAGCCAAACACTCTCATAATGAAGTGCTGTCTCTTCCCACAGATAAAATTGGGGTAAGCGGTCATGGTATAAGCTCCGCTGGGGTGTAAGAAGCACATGAATGGCTTCAGAGCAATGGCTGCCATGGTGCCGAAGCCCAATTGAAATCCAAGTCCGGCGGTGTTGGCTGTGAAGGGCAGCGTCCACGGTCGCAAGCACCTGCCCAACCTGCCCAACCTGCCATGCCGCGAAATCAGGGAAGAGGTGGCCCAGAAGAGGAACAGCCATAGCACAGCAGCCGGGAAGACGGCCAGACCGATGAGGTAGCGGGCCAAAGGGCCCCTTCCTGAAATGCAAGTGACACCCAATGTGTCCAGGTCCAACAGCATGATTTGCAAACCTGATGAAGTCGATTCAACGGACGTTGTCCATGTGGCTGATGTCAGCCCAACCACAGCGAGAATTTGCAAGGCAGCTAGTCCGACCGAAATTGCCATGACACCAGATTTGAAAGGCGTAGCCTTTGCCAGAACATCCAAATTGCTCAAATAATATGCAAGAATAGGCAGCACAAAAACAATTGGAATGCCAGCAGCCACCAATGCAAATCTGGTAGCACCACAATCTACACATTGTCCAGAAAAGCCTTGCGTTTGACCGAGAGGACAAACAGCACAAGCGCTGCCTTCTAGGCCATTGGCACAGGTTCCTGCCAGTTTTCTTCCACAGGTTTGGGTTGATTACCAACCATCGACCCCTCACGCCAGCTGTCACGCCAGCTGTCAAAACCACCAAAATTGCCTCTGAACCAAGCCTGACACGACAAGTACTACAAACCGTTCACGACGACTGTATATATAAAAAATAACTGATACCTGCAACGTCTGAAACTTAAACTGTGCCCGGATACCTTGCTCCAGCGATACCAATCCGGGAAGGGCAAGCAAGTTCAGAATGAGTTCAAGTTCGGGCAGGCACAGTCTGTCTTGCATGGGGTTGGTTCCTCTTTGAGTCCGTGTCTGTGTTGCATCCGTCAGGTCAAGTTCGAGTTCGTGGGGCAGCGGTGTGTAGAAAACAAGGAAGCACAAGAAGAACAAGAACTACAACCACAACCACAACTACGATCACAATCACAAAAAATGATCAACAAGAGCAAGAGTAGGAACTGAAGGTGTTTCTTCGTTGGTGCGGAGATGCTACGCCCTCCACGCACTGCCTCCCTCCACGGCCGCAAAATCTGTAGAAAAAGAAGAAGAAAAAAAAGAAAACAAGGAAGAAGAAGAAGAAGAAGAAGAAAATCTAGGGGGAAGAAAAGAAGAAGAAGAATTCAAAAAAACAGAGAAAGTAGAAGAAATCAAAAACAGAGAGAAGGACAAAACGACAAACATCAGAACACGCAGAATGAAACCGCAACCGTTTGAAGATACCAGATGCCGTACGGCCATACGGTACCCCCGTACGCATAAAGATTTGGAAACTCCGGTGCCCTGCATCCGCCTCCCCAAGTTCGACCAAGGGTAAGCCAAGGGTAAGCCGGGTAAGCATGATGGATGCGAAATGACAACCGTTTCAAACGTTTCGGGTTAGAGATCAAGGGGAGTGGGGATGTCGATGGCGTAGGGCACTTCAGCAGTTCGAGTTCGGAGTATGTTCGAGCTCAGAGTCTGAGAGTTGGTAATCTGCAACCGATCATTCAGTTCCAGTTGTTCCAGTTGCTGTTCCGGCTCCGGTTCGGCTTTGAGTTCGGGTTCAGGTTTGACGGGTCTTGAAGATGAGGCATACGCTCACATGACCTGAAACATCCTGAAACAAAGTTCGGATTCGGGGTCGAGCACTGTGGGTTAGATGGAATTGGCAAGTCTTTACCTTATCCCATTTGACGAGACATGAGGGTGCGTTGGCTTCTTGAACAAAGCACAACTGGCGGCTCCCATTCCAGCTCCTGGCACTCCGCCGCTACACGAAGCTTCGGGTCTGCAGTGAAATATCTCCAAAGGTTCCTGGCCAACAGTTTCGAGGCACCTCTGGTGCATCAAATGTCCTGTCTCCTTTTTGCAAAAATGGTTCATCATGGTTCATCTCTCCTGTTCCTGACCCTACAGAGCTACAATATTCAGTGTTGCTTACTCCAGTCATCGTGGTCACCTTCTAAGTTTCTGTATCAGTCTTGCACCGCCTCCATGGTTGAATGGTAGCCTCGTCGAATTCTCGGAACCTGGGCGCCGATATGGACATAGTATGACATAGTGATAAGTTGCGCAGTTGCGCACAACAAATTTGGTGCCACATGAAACCAAATAAACCAAGGAGCAAATTCGGAGCTGCTGGACTGTCCAGACTTGAGATCCTCGATTCTTGAAGCCAGTGGACAGTCCAACCCTTCGCTGCACGGAACGCAATTGAAGGTGCCGTTGTCTCCGATGTTGATGGACCCAGCCTTGCAACCACAGTCCGACATGGAGACGGAACCCAAAAGCCCAGTGCTTGTGCCAGCAGGGCACATCTTGCAATCGTTGCTTCCCTCCTGATCTTGGTACTGGCCAACTGGGCATCTGTTGCATGAAACACTGGCGGTCTCGTTCTGATAGCTACCAGCTGGACATGGATCGCAAACGACCGAAGCGCCAGAAGCTTGGAATGATCCACTCTGACATGGTTGGCAAATGAATGTGGTCCCTCACAGGGTCCAGGGTTGGATGGGTTGAATTGTTTCACTTGACCTGTTTGAACACCTCAATTGGTTGCAACCTATCATGCAGAAAGCTTGTCTTCTGCTCCTACGAAACGTCTCTGTAGTTCCTGCCTTGGCCATCCTCCAGCCGAGATGAGAAAAAGCCTGGCAAACGGCTAAGGGTAGCTGAACCTAGCAAACAGCTTGTCTCCTGTAGACGTTGCTCCATGAGCATTGCGTTTCAATGTATTCTTCGTTATTCTTCCAGCTTAGCGATTTGCCCTTCTTCGCTAAATCAATCCATCCTTTCTATTCCTTTGGAATATCCCGCCTGAAGGGCAAGCTCTGCAGGATATTGCAGAACCCGCACTCTCACGCTTCATCAAGAACTGCTGCGTCTGCTCCTGAGGAATTCTCTCGACACAACAAAGGAGCTTGCACAAAACACACTCGGTGGCTCATGGTTCTTCAAGTAACCCATCAAATCAAACGAAGGAAAATGAAGCCTTAAGAATCAAAGTGCTCAAGTCCAAGTTTCACATGGAACCCCCAACAGATATTGTTGAAAGCACTAAGCTTGCATCTGACCGTGGGTCATCTAGGGAAGCAGGACACGGAGTCCTTCTCAATTCACTGCAAGCATCCTTAAATGTCCAAAATATCAAACTGAATATGATTTGGGCATATTTGGGCAATCTGTTAGAACATGTTTGAACAATATTTCAAGGGTGATTAGAAACAGGCACACATAAAGAGTGAAAATGGAGGGCACTAGCCTCATGAATGTCCCAACAACCGCTGTGGCACGTGACCTGCTGAAGAACCCCAGTTCCGCTATTGAAAAGAAATGTCTTTAAGTAAATGCGGTCCAATTAATTGCATTACTGGGCTTTCTCGGCTTTCACGACTTCAGGACAAGTATCGCTGTAGATGCCAAATTGAGAGAAGCATTTGCCCTTCTCTGGCACCCAGGCTGACCATGAAGGTTCATTGGCCCGAAGCCACCGGCAAGCGACATCAAAGTTGGAGTCTTCTGTGTTGAGTTGGTCCAGCAACATATCATTCATACTGCTTAGACTCATCGAGAGTCTGGCGATGAATTCCTGAACATCTGGAGCCAAATCAGCTAAATCCTGACTCACGTGCTTGTCAATGGACACGTCACGGGAAGCGGTCCGTCGATTTCCCTTGGCCCATTCATCTGCATCGTGCTCAGGGAAGGTAATCCTTCGTGGTGCCAACCTCCAAAGCAGGTGTTTAATGGGAATATGGAGCGCCAACATGCAAAGAGGGCAGGGTTTGTGTCGGAAAACGCGATTCGGAAAACAGATGTTGGTTTCAGAACAGAGGTATGTTGACGTCGGCCGACGGAAGTGTCTGTGTCGGGTGCCGGGATTGTAGATATTGCAACTGAACTCATTTTTCTCTCAACTTAGAAAGGGGAGGCTGCATGGGAGGTTTGGGTGGAAGGTTTTCAAAATTACTTGGAATCGTGACAAAAATTCTTGGAAAGGGGAGGCTGTGAGCGAGAAAGAGGCTTTGGGGGGGAAGTTTTCAGAATGACCTTGAATCGTGACAAGAACCCTTGGAAAGGGGAAGCTGTGAAGTGAGGAATACCATTCCATGTAGAAAAATACCATGGACATCCATGGACTATTGCTCTCTATTGATTCTATACAGCGTTTGCAATTCACAATTTTGATCAATTTTGGGTTGTCTGCAGCCTAAAACGGAAAACCTGAAGCAACACAACACTGAAAATCATTGAAAATCATCCCCCTTGCAATTCGGGTCCTGACCCTGGCCCCTGAATCTTTAAGGGACCACTGGTAGCCTCTTAAAGAATGCGAACCAGGGCAAATTTCAGCCTTAAAGAATCGAACCCCAATGAACCAAGATTGCACACAGTAGCCAGGTATGTCCCTTTAAAGGATTGGAGACCCAAGTTGCACACGGAGGGGTGCCCCTTTGAAGAATTGGATACCCAAGTTGCAGTCGAATGGACGACGGCGCAGTCAAGCATCATCAATAAGATGCGCATGCAATCATATGAGAACATATAGACTTATTTATTTGTGTCCATATTAGGATTATTAGAATTTATTAGGCATCTTTAGGTGAATTTTGAAAGCACATCTTTAACATTCTTCAACTCTGGAAGGTGTTTTAACACAAATTCTTGCATTTACAATTCTCCTTGGAATTATCCTGCTCACATGGACTCCAGCATTCTTTAGACAAAAAACGGAGGTCCACCTTGCACTACTGAAATGGCACATCTAAAGAATGCCTACCTAGGATGCAAGGGGGTCTAAGACCATCTAAAAAATCATGGCCCAGGCAACCAACTACAACAAATACAAAAAATACACAAAAAACAAATACAAAAGTAAACCTCTAAAACATAGGGCGTCCATGTTAGCCATGTGGACATCAACAAACATAAAAAACACCAAACGTACCCAAATGATTCCTTTGCACACCGGAGATGAAATTTGCCCTTCTTTTGCCAATACAGATTAGCGGCTTCTGTTTTTGTCATGGCAGAAGCTTCTGCCAAAGCGTTGTCTTTGGCTGCCTCCTCTCCTCTTGTTTCATTTTTCTGGTTTGATCAAAATTGATTGTAAACAACATATCCCCCTTTGTATTCAGTCTTTGACCCGGGTGTCCGGTTCTTTGGTGGAGGGTGCCATTAAAGAATAAGGTCCTACCTCCGGACACGATGAGTTTTGATGGATCTTCTAAAGACAATTGGTGTTATGCCTGGGGATCTTAGGGATTTCCTGGGGACGTCTGGATATGAGACCTGGACTGGGTTCGAGCTGGCGTTTTGATTCTTTAAAGGCTCAGGCCTGTCGACCCTACAACTTGGGATATTTTGGGGAGGGTGCCACTAAAGAATCAGGTCCTGCCTCCCGACACAGGGAAGGGTGTCCTTAAAGAATCAGGTCGTGCCAAAACACTGTTTTCCTCTGAGCTGGTGTTTTGATTCTTTAGAGGCTCAGGGCGTGTCGACCCTGCAAAACCTGGCAGTTTTTCACAGTTTGGGGTATTTTTTGGGAGGGTGCCATTAAAGAATAAGGTCCTACCTCCGGACACACTCCGTTTCGATGGACCTTCTAGAGACAATTGGTGTTATGCCTGGGGATCTTGGGGATTTCCTGGGGACGTCTGGATATGAGACCTGGACTGGGTTCGAGCTGGCGTTTTGATTCTTTAAAGGCTCAGGCCTGTCGACCCTACAACTTGGGATATTTTGGGGAGGGTGCCACTAAAGAATCAGGTCCTGCCTCCCGACACAGGGAAGGGTGTCCTTAAAGAATCAGGTCGTGCCAAAACACTGTTTTCCTCTGAGCTGGTGTTTTGATTCTTTAGAGGCTCAGGGCGTGTCGACCCTGCAAAGCCTGGCAGTTTTTCACAGTTTGGGGTATTTTTTTGGGAGGGTGCCATTAAAGAATAAGGTCCTACCTCCGGACACAGTGGGTTTCGATGGATCTTCTAGAGACAATTGGTGTTATGTCTGGGGATCTTAGGGATTTCCTGGGGACGTCTGGATATGAGACCTGGACTGGGTTCGAGCTGGCGTTTTGATTCTTTAAAGGCTCAGGCCTGTCGACCCTACAACTTGGGATATTTTGGGGAGGGTGCCACTAAAGAATCAGGTCCTGCCTCCCGACACAGGGAAGGGTGTCCTTAAAGAATCAGGTCCTGCCAAAACACTGTTTTTTTCTGAGCTGGTGTTTTGATTCTTTAGAGGCTCAGGGCGTGTCGACTCTGCAAAGCCTGGCAGTTTTTCACAGTTTGGGGTATTTTTTGGGAGGGTGCCATTAAAAAATAAGGTCCTACCTCCGGACACACTCCGTTTCGATGGATCTTCTAGAGACAATTGGTGTTATGCCTGGGGATCTTGGGGATTTCCGGGGACGTCTGGATATGAGAATTGGACTGGGTTCGAGCTGGTGTCTGATTCTTTAGAGCTATACCCTGCAAAACGATAAACATATTTATTTGTATAAATCAATATATGCAATTTGCTGCTTTTATCATATCTAGTGTCAATTTGGTTGCGTTTATTGAGCCATGTTTTGGCCAGCACTTTAAACATTGACAAACTCAACTTAGGGTTCCAAATTAAATCTCTAAAGAATCAAGGGGCAACTGATAACCCGGGTTGACTTATGTTTTAGCCAGGGAAAATTCCAAGAGGGATAACACCATATGATCTTCCAACGCTCTGTTTTCAAACGCTCATAAATGTGCAATAGTCCGGCGTCCCTGAAGAATGTCCTTGTTGAAAAATCAGTTGAAATGTGTTGTCAATGTTGAAACTTGTTTGGCTCATCTGCGATAAACGATGGCCGGCGCACAACAGCAGTTTCAGCAAATCGCAAAAATTCAAAGAGCTTGTCTATTGCCCCTCAAAATGCTCTCTCTAAAAAATCATGACCTAGGAAGCCTTTGCAAAAAATGTGGACTCCGGGTTAGCCATGTGGAAAAATCATCTGTTTTTGCATTAAAAAAACGTTTTCTGCGACAACCCGGGTTGTTGCATTTTTTAGTGGAAATTCCAAGGGGGATCACTTACATGCATTCACCCATCACGTTTTCATCTTCCATCTCACCTTCACGTCTTCTGCTTGTGAGCATCTGTTCAAGCGGCAGGCAAGCTGGTTTTCATTTGACACACAATCCCAAAAACATTGATGAACATATCAAAAAACAAGTTCCTAGAATCTTCCTAGGAAGGCCTCTTAAAGAATAGGAGACCGTTAAACAACAGTATACATCTTAAAAAATGAAACTGTTTTTTTTGCTGGCCAAACTGTCCCTTAAAAAATACAGTTTTTTAAAGACATCATGTCCTCAAGTCTTTAGGCTAAATTCCCAGGAGGATTGAAAATCCATGTTTACAGCACCTGACTTCGACGTGTGTGTTTTCTGACTTCGACGCCTCTGTTTTCTGACTCACACTGTCTGCGTTGCACGCAAAGAACACGAACACGACTTGGTGTGTTTGCAAAACATAAAAACACTTTGAATCAAACACTGCATGTGCATCCTCTGAATCTCAGTTCAATCTCCATATTTTGAGGCAATTCCTCCCCATGTCATTTGCCGCTGGTGCCCGAATTTCACCAGTTGCGCCTCAAAAAAGTTGGATCTGGAACCCACCAATAGAGCCTAGCCACTGAGCACGGGATGTGTTCATGTGGGTTCCATGTGCAACTCCTGCTGAACCTCTGAAAAGATAAATGAAACTGCACCGCTTGGAAAAACTTTACTTCAGGCTCTCCTTGTTGGGACAAATAGAGTACCAAACTCTTGAATGATGCGAAAAACTGAGGCTCCCACATCACATCGTTGGTAGTCGGCAGCCGGGCATAGTCTGCGAAGCTGTACGCAACGGCCGTTGCCAGGGGCATGTTGTACATCGTTGCTTTTACAAGCATTTCGAACATACCCCAGCCAGTGCCACCCGTGAACCACGTAAGACAGTTGGCTGGCTGCGATCGACAGCCAGGAGCATACCAAAAATAGGTGTCCCAGCATTTGCCAGTGATCTCAGGCGCGGAGCCAACAACACCTGCCGCATCACCAGTAATGTCCAAGTAGTTCCTCATTACCTGAGGAACATTTCTTGGGCATGACCCCCAACCATCCCAAATAGCGTGGCCCATGAAGGCAGAGAGCCTAGCAACAAACACATCATGAGCTGCTGATTCCATAATTGATCATAATTGATCATCTTTCATATCTTTCATCTTCAATCACCCTTGTCCCGGATCCCTCATTGTTTTCTTGAGACCGTGAAGGGCTACATCTATGCCACATGGAATCGCGACGCCATGTTTGAATCCAGAAAAAACGACCCGACTAGACACTTACCCTCTGGTAAACTAACATAGCTATTGAAAATTGCCATTTATAGTTGATTTACCCACTGAAAATTGTGATTTTCCATAGTTATGTTAGTTCACCAGAGGGTAAGCGTTTTCAAGACCAAACGTCCCTATCCCGCCTTGTTCAACATCAGAGCGGTTTCGTTGCACGGCCGCAAGCGAGCAACGCTGAGGTCACTGGGAGCCGCAAAGAACTTACTTGGATTCTTCTTCGAGACATTGTAGTCGCGGTAGAAGTCCAAATTGATTCCTTCAGAGTCATAGCCTTGTTCCCGAACTTCCAAAGGAATGTACGTTGCAGTTGCACCGTAGTAACCCATATTTCCCAAAGTCTTGGGAGCCATCTTTGGAAATTGCGCCTGGATCTGATCCCAGTCGCCGCTGTACGTTGAAGTCCAAACTTCAACGTTGATGTGAACGTAGGTGATGGATGCGTTGCATCCACGGTCAGCACTATTTGTAGGGAAA